GGGGGGGGGGAAATAAAATAAATATTTCTTCAATCAGAATACCCGCTACCCGGTTCCTGAAGAAGTAGAGGGTCCTTTATCCGCATCCAGCGTATTCTAGTGACGCAAACAGACTGCTGCGCATGAGGCCCCGTTTGTCTGGTGCAACAGCTGTGGGTTGGATTTATTGAGGTCTTACCATAATTATCGTTTGTAAATATTCATCACCTGAACATCGAGGGGCCTCCCTGATATTTCTCTTCCGCTTTAATCTCCCGAGAGTGTATTCCAAAGTTGTGCTCTTTTGTTGGATGGAATATACTTTCTTTTTCATTTGTCACGCGACACCGTTAAACAAAACAGGAAAATAGTTACAAAGTTAATAGAAAGTCCGTCGAGTGTAACAATTTGATAAAGAAGTGACCTACAAATTGTTACACTCGACGGACTTTCTATTAACTTTGTGATTGATAGTGTAACGGACCAAAAATGAAACAATTCAAAATAGGAAAATAGTTACTATAGGATTCTGACGATGGTGTATAACACACTGATATGTTGGGTTTTTGGACTTTATCCATCGTCCCGGTTTTTAAGATAACTAATAAAAACACGACGTTTCGGAAACTGGATCTGTTTCCGTCCTCAGGTGAAGGAAAACACCTATTCTGTTGGGTCCGTTAGAAAGATCTAGCCTCAATCACTGGACCAGTGATTGAGGCTGTTTGAGTGATTCTGTTGACCCAACAGAATATGTGTTTTCCTTCACCTTAGGACGGAAACAGATCAAGTTTCCGAAACGTCGTGTTTTTATTAGTTATCTTAAAAACCAGGACGATGGATAAAGTCCAAAAACCCAATATATCAAAACAGGAAAATGTATGAACGACGTCACGTACAGCAAATGAGAAGAACATTGGCCCTTATTGCAGGTAATGCTGCAGACGTTTGAGCAATCTTCATTCAGAATTGTCTAATGTGAAAGTTGCAGCCATACATTAGATGCGGCAATGTACATTGCGTTGGAATGTTTTGTTCGACAAGATCGTTTTGCGAAAATTTAATTACATTTAAGGAGTCATTTTTGTTGCCGATTAATTAACTAACTAACTAACCGTCTCACCTAATTCCATGAAGTGTGGACCTTCTCGAGAAGCTGACAATCGTTCGGCTAGACAATAAATCTCCCACATGTTATAAAACCTGAACGCTCATTAACGTGTTAACAAAAGCACGCTCTCCATGATCCTATGTAAGTAGCTGGATATTTAAGCTTGAGGACTTGCAGGTTCACCGCTAGAGGACCACCCTCTCTTGGCTGTTAGCCATTGCTCATTATTGCTGGACCGGTATGAACCGAAATAAAATTCAATGAGGATTTTTTTTTTTGAATTGTTTCATTTTTGGTCCGTTACACTATCAATCACAAAGTCAATGAAAAATCCGTCGAGTGTAACAATGTTTTTAGGTCACTTCTTTATCACACTTGCCTTACATGTTTCGGTTTAAGAAAACCATCATCAGAGGGCAATTTCGGATGGAATGCGCGAGTTGAACGTGCATTCAATATTCCTAGAAGGTGTTGTGCTTTTACACTTCGACAATTGTAGCAGCGTCCAGGCAGCAGATGTACTGTGTACATTAAACAACGCCAGTGTTTTCATGTGTTTGTAATATGTGCCTCTGATGATGGTTTTCTTAAACCGAAACATGTAAGGCAAGTGAGATAAAGAAGTGACCTAAAAACATTGTTACACTCGACGGATTTTTCATTGACTTTCAATGAGGAAAATTTGACGCACACGTGAGTAAATGTAAAGTAAAGTAAAGTAAAGGTAACCCTGTAACAGGTCGTGGAGGCCCATAGAGTGGTGAGATGTTGAGGTTCCCACATCTTCTAGAGAATCCACTCATAGATGGCGGCAAGGTTGTCAGCCTTACGCGCCGGCCGCCCTTTACCTCCAAGAACATTCCAAGAATATTCCTGGTACTCATTTTTGTTAAGAGGCCAGGGCCATAGTGCGGCTGGAAGGATTAGGTCAATTGAAAACGCAGACATGAGAGAAACGAGAAATACGTACAAGATTTTGAAAACCTGAAGGGTAGGACAGTTTGCTAGACTATCGACGTACATGGCAGCATGGGACCAATGGTGAGTTTTGTGAACATGATCATGAACATTTGGATTTGCTAGGGTGGACTGCTTTCTGATAAGAATAGGGCTCAATGAATAAACTGAAACGGAACAGTTCGTGTGCCATGGAATTACCTACCTCCCCCCATCTATACACACATATTCTGGCCTGGACATATAGCACGGATAGAGTACGCGAGAAACTGTAGGCAGGAAAGTTTTTGAACGGAAGTGACCTCTCAGATGACCTAGGGGGAGATGAAGGATAAAGTTAAAGCAGATGTTGAAGAAGCAGGGTGTTAGAGTGTGAACTGGATTGAACTGGCTCAGGGTGGGATTGAGTAGCGGAGTTTTGTGAACAAAGTCGCAACACGCAACAAGACAAATCTAAAATAATTTTATTCTCTTTGCGTGATGGATCGATTTCTTACAGATTTTTTTTTTTAATAAAAGCTGTTTTTAATATTTTTGGTTTGCCTGTAGCTTTGTATGGGTGAAAAAACTTGGTCTCTCGTATTAAGGGATGAACATAAACTGAGGGCGTCTGAGAACAAGGTGCTGAGGAGAATATCTGGGCTTACGAGGGAGGAAGTGACAGGAGGATGGAGAAAATTACATAACGAAGAGCTTCATAATTTGTACTCCTCGCAAAATATTATTAAAACGATCATCTCAAGCAATATGAGATGGGTACGTCACGTAGCAGGCGTGGGAAAGAAGAGAAGTGTATTCAAATTCCGATGGGAGAACCTGAAGGACAAAGACACTGAGAAGACTTAGAAGTAGACGGAAGAATAATATTAAATTGTATTTTAAAGAAACAGGATGGAAGAATGTGGGCTGGATTAATCTAGCTCAAGCTAAAGAGGGGTGCCGGGCTCCTTTGAATAAGGCAACGAACCTTCGTGTCCCCCTCCCCCCACAAAATATGCTGGGAGCTTCTTGAGCAGCTCACTAACTGTTAGTTTCATGGACTGGTGGCGGCAAGACAAGAGTACACATTCCTTGAAGCTGGGGCCGGTGCGTGTCTGTTCCAGTCTATCACTTGCAGTAAGTAATGCGGCTTAAGGCGGCCACCACTTGCAGCGGGATTATGGCCAAACAGTCACATCTAATCTTCGCTCCAATACGGCTCTCCGGCAGTTACGAGTGTCTTTCAGTCCTGGGACGTTGTCGAGGGAAGTAGCCACACCGGAAGAGATCCCATCCTCACACTGCTCGCCGCTGCAATAGGTGAGTGCCAGAACTACGTAAGCTGCTAATTCTCAGTGGCCGCCGTGCCTAGTGGGCCCAGTTGGACTCCAGTTGCTAGCTCAGCAAACATGTATTTAACTAATAATAATATGCCTTTAAGAACATTACGTCATCGTATCGCGAGGATTTGATATGAAATATGTTTTGGAACACCCTATTTGGATTCTGCAAGCTTTAAGGAGCGAACAAAGTGAGTTATTCAAAGCGTAATTAGGTAAAGTAAAGGTGAAGCTGTCCTTGGGCTTAATTAAGCATTATACCGTGAATATGTGTGGGGGGAGTGGAGGTACAGCTCCACCATTCCTGACCTCGGATGTAGATGGAGGTATGTTGAGCTTCACGACCCGGCCGCTTTACCCCCGCGGAAAGAGACGCCGGTACACTTTGGACAGGAAGCTGGGTGAGCCCCGGAGAAGGTCTGGACGCTACAGATAAGAGAAAACCATTGCACAGCCGAGAATTGAAACCGGGCCATCCACCCCGTAGGACATCGCTGTAGCGACTCGTTTTCAAATTGCAGTGCGACGAATAATATCAAAAGGCTGAGATTGGTTGGGTTTTTAGAATGAGTGTGAATAGTTAAATCATAGCCTATACAGAATAGATTTCCACATACCTCACAGGAAAAATAGGCACAAAGGGAAAGTTCACGAAAGATATTATGGAACTTTGTCCTGGATTAAACTGGCTCATGACAATTCTGTATAGGGGATTATATGACTCGGGACCGAGCTGTCTGGGCCCGTTCGAACAGCAGAGTGGCGTTCGTATTGGCCCCGTGAGCATCGATGAAAACACGAACGGCTCCACATTCATTAATCTTCCTATTAAACAATTCCGTGGCCTGTAGTCCGCAAGCGAACTATACCGACCGAGAGATCGCCGCTTGACGGCGAAGTTAATGCCAACTTTTGCGGATAGAGTGTGTCATGTGGTCAGCGCAACAGATCCCCACGACCGTTAATCTCGGTTTTCTAGAGCAGATTAATCTTCCTATTACGAACACTATTTAGTTCTGATATAGCCGCCTCTGTGGTCTAGTGGTCGGATTTCCTGGCAACAGATCCAGAGAGCCCGTGTTCCATTCCAGGCTCTACCAGAGTTTCTGAGAAGTAGTGGGTCTGGAACGGGGTTCACTCAGCCTCGTGAGAATAATTGAGGAGCTATTTGAATGGAAAAGTAGTGGCCCCGGTCTAGAAAACCGAGATTAACCGCCGTGGGAATCCGTTGCGCTGAACACGTGGCACCCTCTATCCGTATAAGTTGGCATTAACTTCGCCGACAAGCGGCGGTCGCTCGGTCGGTATAATTCCCTTCCGAATTGAAAGCCATGGAGCTTATTTAGTTTTGATCCTTACAGCCAGAGGATGCATGGGGAACTGGTGAAACCACGAAGTCAGCCACAGATCATGGCTGCAGTGCCACCAGCAGACGCAGACAAGAACAAGGTAGATAGCTTGTCATACGACGAGACGGAGCCACTCCTCCGCCGCGACAAACACCAGCAGCAGGGATTGGGCTACTATCACAATGTACCAGAAGTCGCCATCCATTTCAACCCCCCGTCTTCAGCTCCTGGTCCACAGTTCGAATCCCACAAATGGCAGCCGAGTCTGAAGAAAGAAGAGCAGAAAGTCGAAGGAGCGAATTGGTTCGGTATCTTCTTAGCCTTCTTGTCAGGGGCGTTCTTTACGTTAAGTTCTGCAGGTGTCAAGGGGTTGAAGGGCGTGGACCCCATGGAGCTACTGGTCCTGCGGTCGATACTGCAGGTATCTGCAATGTTGCCCATAGCGCTTAACAAGAGAGAGAACATCTTGGGTCCGAAGGGGCAGCGCGGACTCCTGCAGCTCCAGGTAGGGATCTCAGCGACGTCTGTTGCCACAGATCTGTACGCTCTGCGTACTAGCCGCAGTTCACCTTGCAGCTGTGCAGTGACACACACGCCATGTATGCTACCAGATCTTAAGAACACAAATACTGGCATTTTAGCACTTCCGTAAAAATAAGCAGCTCGTTTTTAGAGACAACTGTTCCAGCTCGTACGCTACGTAACGGAGCATGCTCAGTCATATTCTGATACGTATCTGTCTTGCAGGGTATCGTCGGAGGCTCGACGCTGGTTCTCTTGTTTTTCACGTTCCGACGCCTTCCGCTAGGGGACGCCACCACCATCATCTTCAGTTCCCCCGTGTTTGTCATGATCATGTCTTTCCTGTTCCTGCGGGAGCCGTGTGGCTTCTTCAGGACGCTGATAGTGTGCCTGCTGCTCACTGGCGTCGTCCTCATTTCCAAGCCACCGTTCATCTTCCAGGTGAGACTAAAGTGCGTGTCCTACTTGAGCTCTCGTCAAATTTGGTCGAACGACGAAGGAAGTACAGGTGCAATTTCGATGGGAGGACTCAAGCATAGATGATAATATTAAAACTAATATGAAATAATTAGGGTGTTAGGGCGTGACCGGATAGGAACCAGTGATGACGGGCTCTTGTGGACACGGTGATGAAAATTTTAGTTCTATAAATGGCTGGACAAGTAGCAAACCACAGACCACATGGAGCCAAACCGACTGCCCTGCTCTCTGTGTGCAGACATTCGCCCAGCATTACGACGTCTTCGGCTACCTCAGCGCCCTGGGAGCGACGCTCTTCATGGCGCTCAACATCGTCGTCATGCGCAAGTGTAAGGACGTCCACTTCGCCATCGTGGTCCTACACCTGTCATTGTGGTCCCTCGTCGTGTCCGTTGCAGTGTTGCTAGGCTTGCGGCAACACCACCACCAGCAGCTTTTCAGTGTGCCTCATGGGTTCCATGACTGGGGTCTCGCGGTAGTGGTCAGCGCGCTGGGACTCTCGGGGCAGGTTCTGGTGGCCAAGGCGCTGGGAAAGGAGGGAGCAGGCCGCGTGGCCGTGACACGCTCCCTGGATATTGTGCTGGCCTTCATTCTGCAGGTAACCGTGTTCGGGGAGGTTCCGGACTTGCTGAGCGTGTCTGGAGCCCTGCTGGTACTGTTGAGTGTCCTGGCAATGGGCTTGGAAGAGCACATACTGTACTGGTCCAGCCTTGTGCCCTGAACACATTGTAATGGGCTACTCTTTTGCCCTCAACACACTGGACTGGGCTAGCCTTGTGCCCTCAACACACTGCACTGGGGTAGCCTTGTGCCCTCAACACACTAATGATCTAACCTTGTGCCCTCAACACACTGCACTGGGCTAGCCTTGTGCCCTCAACACACTGTAATGATCTAGCACTGTGCCCTCAACACACTGCACTGGTGTAGCCTTGTGCCCTCAACACACTGTAATGATCTAACCTTGTGCCCTCAACACACTACACTGGGCTAGCTTTGTGCCCTCAACAGACTGCACTGGGCTAGCCTTGTGCCCTCAACACACTGCACTGGCATAGCCTTGTGCCCTCAACACACTGTAATGATCTAGAGCCCTCAACAAACTGCACTGGGCTAGCCTTGTGCCCTCAACACATTGTAATGATCTAGCCTTGTGCCATCAGCACACTGTAATGATCTAGCCTTGTGCTCTCAACACACTGCACTGGGCTAGCCTTGTGCCCTCAACACACAGCACTGGGGTAGCCTTGTGCCCTCAACACACTGTAATGATCTAGCCTTGTGCCCTCAACACACTGCACTGGCGTAGCCTTGTGCCCTCAACACACTGTAATGATCTAGCTTTGAGCCCTCAACAAACTGCACAGGGCTAGCCTGGTACCTTGAAATCAGTGGCCCATCTCAAGCAATAAGTTATACTTTAGATGAGACTTCCTCTTCATGCTTCATCTAGGTGAATCTCAAATGTAAGCAGATGGTTTCAAGATTTCATCAACGACACAAAACTATATTTATTGTACTGTAAGCCTAAGCCGAGCCCTAGTTTTGTTCTCAAACAAAATCTGTATATGTATGAGCAACCTGGTGTTCTATCTACACATCGCTTTGTACTCCCAGGGCAATGACATGTAAGAAGCCATGATGGGCTTGGCACGTAGATGGGAAGAGGGAGACAAAGAAAGCACAAAGAATTCTAGTGGCGAAAAAGTCTACCTAGAAGACTGAGAAATATGCTGTAGGTAGCCCCGTAGGGAAATGTGTTGTGAGGATTAGTTATTCTTGTCTTCAGATTTCCATAGCCTTTGTAAAATTTTGACTGTGGATCATAAACATTCCTGTAAACTATGTAAAGAACAATTTTTATGTGCTAAAATATGTAAATATTGAGACAGTGCGAATATTTTGGTGTTACATTTGTTAAACTTAGCGTGTTGGAAATCTGCTGTATGGACCTTACGGACAAAACTGGATCACTAAACTGAGCACTTGTTAATATGTTGACATAACACAATAGACTGAAGGGCTTGAAGGAAAGTGTTTTTACCACACAGTACCTGGCTCCAGCAACAGTGGTCTGGGCTAGGAGCAAGGGCAGAGCTCCCAACAAGAAGGGACAGCCTCCCCATTCCTGTGGCTGGAATTCAACTCCCTTCACATTTCTTGCTCAGCACAAGAGCAAGGGAGGGCTTCTAAGAATATTAGATGCTGCAGCTCTATGAGTTCCTTTCTTGCAGAAACAGCATCTGTACTTTTTAAGCAGTCCACTCTCCGTGCATTTTCATGTGTTACACAAAGATTGGTATAATTTCCATCTATGTGAAAGCAACTGACAGATTGAAAACATTTCCAAAACACTGATTTCAAAAATACGTAATAAATGTTATTTCAGTGATACTGATAAAAGTAAATTTTACAAAAAATAATTTATTCTGGGCTTTGAACATGTAAAACTTACTAAGCAGGCTGGTGTAGTGGCAACCCTGTAGACTTGTATTCAGAAGTGCTTAATTCAAGGCTTGGTTGGAATACCTGCTATCCTGATAGAGTTTTATCATGGTTTTCTGAAGTCCCTCTGGTGGAATGCCCAGGTAGGATGTCATGTAGGCCACATCCGTTCCAGCGTCACCATTCACCAATTATCCTACCGTATGACTGTGTAATCTGGATCAGCGGTTCTCATCCTTCCAGTAACCATGTTACACTTGTGTCGCACTAGAGCGACCGCTGTTGCTCTAATATTGCCACTCACAGCAGATGCTATTACCATTGCTATTAGTACCTCCTTCCACGTTTCAAACGTAAGTTTACTGTTACTCTTTCGATAATTAATAAATTAAACAGAATTATGGATAATTTTGTGGTATTAGCAATGATTTCTACCTTTTGCGTTATTTCACTTTATATAACAATTCTTCTCCTCAAGAGCCGGGACAGCTCAGTCGGTATAGCAACTGGCTACGGGCTTGAAGGTCCGTTAAAGCCGGAGTTCGAGTTCCGGTAGGGTCAAGAATGTTTTCTCTCCATGTCGTCCACACCGGCTCCTGACCCCATCTAACCTCCTATTCAATGGGTACCGGGGGTAAAGCGGCTGGAGCGTGAAACTGACCACTCTTCTCCAACTAATTTCGACGTCAAGAATACGTGGATTTATACATTCACTCCCCCATACGTCTTCATGGCGTCGTGCTTAATTAGTTAAACACAGTGACAGCTTTACTTCCTTTTCTTCACATTCTCCGCGGCACATAGTTTGAGAACTACTGGTCTAGCTATTATCAGCGTCGTTAAATAACCCACACAAAAAGCACGTTCAAAAGGGAGAGAAGGCTATGGAGGATGAAAAGGAGAGTAGCAGAGGAAGACAGGGTGACGCAATGTTACATTCACACAGCTTATACAGGATGATCCATTTAACAGTATACAGGAACAGAAAACATCGCGCCCAAATCACCTCGGCCTATCAGAGCTGTTAACTTTGATAAAAGTCTTCTTTGGACTTAAAGACTACAGTCTTCTGTGTTGCAACGCCGTGTAATTCGGGGATAGCCCAATATTTCGGAGCGACATATCGCTTCCGTCTTCAAAGACAAAGAGTACTCCAAGTAAGAAACAAACAGACCCAGGCGGAAAGCTGAACTGGATGCGATGTTTTCCTCCGAAAGTCGGTCTCCCTCCGAAATACACAGCGTTACAAAAGAGAAAGCCCTAAGGCTCGTAGTCACAGCCTTTACTTGTGTTCTCAGTAGCTCCTCGCGGATATTTCACGACTTTCCATTCCAGTGGAGTCTTCAAGACTTATCGCGGAAAAGTCTAATTTATGTACTTCTCGTCTACTGTCTAAGAACACAAAAATTAGAATACACAAAACTATAATTTTGCCCGTGGTTCTACATATGCATGAAACGTGGGCCCTCACATTAAGGGAGGAACATAGACTGAGGGTGTTTGAGAACAGGGTATTGAGGGGAATATTTGGACCGAAGAGGGCTGAACTGACGGGAGGTTGGAGAAAACTGCATAATGAGGAGCTTCATAACTTGTACTCTTCTCCAATTATAATTAGAATGATCAAGTCAAGGAGGATGAGATGGGCAGGGCATTTAGCACGAACGGGGGAGAATAGGAATGCATATAGGATATTGGTGGGAAAGCCAGAAGGAAAGAAAACACTAGGAAGACCAAGAAGTAGGTGGGTGGGTAATATTAAAATGGATCTAAGCGAGATAGGATGGGGTGGTATGGACTGGATCGATCTGGCTCAGGATAGGGACCAGTGGAGGGCTCTTGTGAACACGGCAATGAATCTTCGGGTTCCATAAAATGCTGGGAAGTTCTTGAGTAGCTGCACAATTGGCGGCTTCTCGAGAAGGGCTCAGTTCCATGGAGGTAGTTTTTTTTTTTTTAATGCTAGTGGGGTGGGACTAAGTCCCTTGTACTGCGGCCACTTCTGGCCTATTGTACCAGCCCCAGATGATAGGTGAGAGTGATTTTGGAGCAGTTGGTGGAATGAAGATTGGCAGGGGAAACCGAAGTACTCGTAGAAAACCTGCCCCACCTCCACTTTGTCCACCATAAATCCCACTTGACCAGACCCGAGCTCGGGGACACGTTCAGTGCCTTCTGTGATCAGTGAGACATAAAACACAACGTTTAACATTTGGGGCAGTTTTAACTGGATCATCCTGTACGGTCTACTAGTGTCTTGAGTTTGCAGCACCAGTATCAGCGATCAGCTCGTCGAGACTTCATGCAGATACTACCGGCAGAGTTACCACTGAGGGGCCCAGCACAGCTGAAAAGCCCACATCTCAAAGAGCAAATTGCCAGATATGTCTCCTAGGTCTTGAAGAGTTCAAAGTTTTGTGATGTGTCACCGTGTAGACTGGCACTTTACGGATGTTATGGAGGAAAGTATTTCTTCCATCCATAGGGTCAGGGAATAGGCCAAGGATCCAGCAGAAGCATACTGCGCATAATGGCGTGATACTTCCTCCGAAACGTCGAGCTCTTTACGAACTACATAGCGATACAACCCAAAGAACCGTACTTTTCCTATAAAGTCTTGTTTTATGTGTTACTATTATCGGAATTAGAATTGCAGCGAATCCAAATAAAGGCCGATATGAATGAATAAAATCATGAATAATAATAATAATAATAATAATAATAATAATAATAATAATAATAATAATAATAATATGTAAAGCTACCCCTGTAACAGGCCGAAAAGGCCCATTGGGTTGCGAGACGTCGAGGCTCCCACATTTTCTAGACAGTCGGCTCACAGATGGCGGTGAGGTTGTCAGCCTTACGCGCCGGCCGCCCTTTATCCTCAGGAAGATTCCTGGTATTAATTTCTGTTAGAGGCGGAGTCGACATAGTGCGGCTGGAACGATTAGGTCAACTGAAAAAATCCAACGACCTCATCGGGATTTGAACCTGCGAACTTACGGTTTGTAGCACAGTACCTCAACCAACTACACTACCGCGTGCCCCCAACAACAATAATAACGTGTCAAGCGGAGCTGTGTAGCTCAGAGAGGAGAGGCAGATGCTGTACCAGCAAGGCGCACGATTGTCACGCCTCAGTAGTCATGCTGCGTATACACGTCGTCTTTGTGACGCCACTGCAAATGGACGCCTTTAGCGTCACAAGAAGGAAGATGACGTTTCATGCAATCCAATTGTGTTACTTTACCTTGGGCGAGAACAAGAGAAAAAACCCCGGGTTCTGCAGTGACACTCAGACGACGCATTTGGAGTAGAAGTTAAACGCGTTATCGCTGAATGTAATGTGAGCTGCGTGGGGCTGGCAACCGGGAGCTGGGTCTGAGCGGGCCTTACGGCCTCAGACTAAGCTGTAAGAATGCCTACAGGTACAGGACACGCCACATCTGTCTTACCGTGCCTATGCATTTACATTTTAATTACGTAAAATGCAAATTGGAGTCCTACCGTATGTGCAAGATCTAGAGAAACCGAAGTGAACGGAGTTCATGGAGGTAGGCCTAGGCCCACTGGAGTTGTAGTACCTAGGAAAAAAAATGCAAATTATCCACGGCCATTTCCTTCGACATCCTTTTCAATTTATTATTCAGTCGTTAAATAAGCTATAACTCATTAACCAACAAACTACACAGTGTGTCCAGGTTCTGATGGACTGTGTTCATTAAAAATACAAGACGTGACAAAATTTCACACTTTTTATTCAAAACAGTCTCCATCTGAAGGAATATATAGCTGGAATCGATTGAAAAGTTTTCGAAAACAGTCACTGCACTCCTTTCGTTGAATCGTATTTAAAACTGTGGTAGATTCCTTTTGGATATCCTTGGTGGTGTCGTGACGGTCTCCTTTCATTGCCAACTTAACTTTTGGCAACCAGAAATCTGCTAGAGCCAAATCTGGCGAATACTGAGGATGATCAAAGGACTGTGATCCCTTTTCTGGCCAAAAAATCGCGCACGATCTTCGATTTTTGGGGTGGGGCATTGCACTTCTTGTGCGGAGGTTACGATTGAGTTGATATACACCTAAGCTCCCCCATACAAGGTCATAATGAATGCCATTCGGCCATAGTAAATTCTTGGAATC